CGGCGATGCCTAAGCCACAGAGAACAACACGGTGGTGCTTTGATTTTTGATGCCCACTGAAGGCCCATGAACCAAAAGTACTGCATGTCACTGGTTTTAAACTAGTTAACCAAAACTAACAAAATAACTACAACCAAGTACAGCTGGAAAAAAAATTGCCAAGGAAATAAAATAAAAATGAAAATGCTTTCAAAAAAATAAAAAACAAACTTCTTAAACAATCTAAAACTGATTATAATTATAGCCAAAACTTCCTTCGTTTTTGGCTTTGTCAATTCATATCATACGTGACCTTTCAGCGTTCATTTTAAGTGTATTTATGTTGGTATTGCTGTACATCCATACAGAAAACGGAACAGTCAAACAGTCGCTTGAGAATTATAGTTTGCATTTCAATAATTAGTGACCTTTTTGTTTTGTTTTGTTTTTAAATCTTGCATTTGACAAAACCCGCATTAAAAATACCAAATACCAAAAGTAATAAAAAACTAAAAACATTTTGAAGAATAAACAACAAAAAAAAAGTCATCAATAATTCTTCAGGGTCACAGGAGCCGATCCAGCGGAGTACATCCTAAACTGGTCTCGGTCCAGTCACAGGGTACACGTTGAGGCAAACAAGCACCCACAGTGTGACTGAGCGGGAACCGATCCCATGCTGCCAATGGGGTTTGTCTGGTCCCTGGATTTGTTTGCCATGGATGACCCTGCCAGGGGCATAAAGCCCCAGACAACTCAGGTTATTGGTACATGCAAACCCTTCCACCATGGTAAGTTGATTGGAGCGGCACACACACACACACACACACACACACACACACACACACACACACACACACACACACACACACACACGCTATGGTCATTTGAAATAAGATAAGCGGACTTTGATAAGTTTTGTGTTAAGGTTGAAGACACAAAATTGATGGAGTATCTTGAAAAACTTAAGTTGGGTCACTTTCAAGTTGAGGTGCCGATGGATATGAAACACATCAACATTGGTTATCAATTGCACTTGGGTCTCTTCCACACGCACAGACACACAGATACACACGCAAGCCTGTCTTATTTGAACGTCAGCCCATGAGTGCGGACAAGCTACTGAAGGCCGGGGCTCGATTGTCGGAGTCAGGCAAGAGAACAAAACCGTTTGGTTCATTTGTATTGTTCTGTAATTTCTTCTCTGGGATTTCCTCGCCGCCCCGCAGCCCCTCACCCCACCCACCCATCCGACTTGCTTGCGTCCATCATCCCATAAGAGAATGCTGCCAAATTCTTTGCAGCATGAAAACAATTGTTCCTGAATGTTTGATGAGACCTAACCGGCTCCTCAGAGAGCTCGCCCGGCCCATAACTATAGTACGCCCCCACCCCACTCCACCCCCACCCCAACAGAGGCTTGCTTGAAAGTCTGTCAGACTTCCTCGACATTATGTTGATTGAAAATGTGAACGCAAAGGATGTGAGGCCTCGGCCCAAAGTGATTCGAGGCCTTGAATATCAGATCATGACGAGGTTCAGGCATTCTGGCAAGATGAAAGCACGTTCAAGGTGAGCAACCATCTGGGAATTACGAGTGCTCGCAGATGATGTGGGGGAGAAAAAGTACATCCTTCCTGTTTCTGGATAATCTATTTCGTTTGTGAGTCTGCGCTGACAGAGTCGTGATTTGTGTTGTCGTATAGCTTTCCTCTCAACACTGAACATCTCATATGAAACGTTGACTTTCCTCTTCTTCTTCTTCTTCCCTGCTGTTTTGAAGCTTGTTGCAATATCATTCAATTATCTTACCGTGAATTAGTAATTTACTTCAAAGGTAGGGATATGTTGGCAAGAATGTTGTCAACTGTGTCTTATGAAGGAAAATAGTGGCATGTGCAAAACAGCTTCTAATGAAGACACCTATATATTCTCTCTCTCTCTCTCTCTCTCTCTCTCTCTCTCTCTCTCTCTCTCTTGGAATCACCCTGTAATTTTCTATGCGTGCACTTGTAGTGATGGGTCGAGTGAGGGAAATTGGCTGCTTGAAAAGTAGATCTTTGGTCAAAAAAGGTTGGACACCCCTGTCCCTGACTTCTTGATTTCTTTTCGGGGTTTTGAAAGCCAGAAAGTGTCAATTTGAATTGACCTCAATTTTGTGTCATGTCTGTGGATCTGCTTTTTTTCATAAAAAAATTAAGCAATAAAACAATAAACATCCTTCAAGACTGCCGCTTGATTTTTGCCAGGAGTTACACACTTCCAACAGCCCCTGACTCTTACCATCAAAATCATTATGGTCACTTTTAAAGTTTTTTTTTGGCGGTGTAACGTGTCTAGCCAAGGACATGGAGAAGTCAGTCCATTTCAAACCTAAACAGCGGACCCCAGGTAGATCCACATCCTCACTTTTCAGACACGGTCCCACACGAGGGTATCCATGCTACTCTGCTGCAGCTTCCAATTTGGTGCTGACCCTGAATGGACCCACCAGAGAGCTGTACATCTGGGTCCCACTGCAGGATGATGTCAAGACTGGCGCTGACCCAAAGCCCGCCGCACAGAGACTTACTCTGAGAGGTCGGCTGCACGTTGTTTTCCCTTCCTGTGCCTCAGTGACATCTTCCTGTCGGGGGGAGCCTCAGGGAGCCATTCGAGGGGGCCTGGGCTCTGAGCACGGAGGACTTAGTGCGGCGAATTCCCGTTGTCCTGACACGGCAGAAGGGGGAAGGTTTACTTTTGTGTTTGGACCCCTGGCATGCGATTGAAATTCATTTTTCTTACAGCACCCTGTGACACCCGCAAGCCTTTTTCTGTCATTTTGTTCAGCAAATTTGTGGTGTGATTTAAAGTGATGTTAAACTGCAACTTGGAAGTGTGCATGAGCTGCCACTGCCATGTCGTGAAGTGGCTTTATATCTCAGCTGAATTGTCGAATACTTTTAACCTCAGTTGGTGCACGGGTGGGACAAAAAAAGAGGATCTTTTCAGTGGCAATTCCAAAATGAAGGTCTGTATGGTAAGCACAAAGTCACTTATTTGAGTGCAGACCGCAGCCCAGACCAAACGGTCGACCAAAGTGTGCGGGGGCTGGAGGCAAATGGAGCGCTGCCTTGTCAGCTAGCAAACTACATCCTGAGTCATGGACGGTGACAAACAGATGGACAGTTGCATTGTGATTCAACAGGGAGTGTGGTTAGATGCATGCCAAAATGTTCAGTGGGACCTCAATTTTCTTAATTCAATTTGTTTGAATGTGTTCCACAAAGTCGGACTGAAATCGAATCATGAAATTCAAGGCAATATTTTCCCAAATAATGTTACTCTATCTAATCCTTTGCTGACGTCCCAAAATATCAATAAAAAATAAGTTTCAGAGAGAATAACACTGCTACAAAAAACATGCAAAATAAATCTTCTTCTCCTTTCGGCACGTCCCTATTCAGGGGTCGCCACAGCGAGTCAGTAATTTCCATCCGCCCCTGTAAACCATCCTACCAACTCGCATGGTCGTCTTGGCAAAAGTTTTACGCCGGATGCCATTCCTGACGCAACCCTCCCCATTTCTCCGGGCTTGGGACTGGCACTGGGGAACAGTGCACCCCCAGGGGAGGGCACTGCTCCCCAGCGGCTGGGTTAAAAAACATGCAAAATAAATGACGAAGATAAATGTACATTGTCCGTCTTATGTTATATGTTGAACCTTTTTTACACAACTTACAAATGAATTTTGAATGAATACATTGACTCTGGGAAATAAGGGGCAGTCACATTTTTTGTTGTTGTTCTTGTTTGTACAAAAAGCAAGCATATGAATGAAAACCAGAACAAAAGTGTTGACGCCCCCCTTCAATTAAAAAAAAAAAAAAAAAAAAAAAAAACTGTCGAAAACCAAATCGGATGGAATTTAGGACATACGTGTCCTACAATGTATTATTTTGTCCAAATGCGTGCTTTGTAAAAAACGTAATTGAAAAAAAAAAAACAAAAACAATGCTCATGTTGGCATGACTTTTGCACAGCAATGCATATATCAACAGTATATTTTAATATTTCTTATGTTGCCAGAAGAACTATTTGTCACGTTCTGGTTCAACCAAACACATTAGACAAAGTAAAGACTATTTTTGCATCATTTGCTTCCACAGCGAGAAACAGGCTTTCACTTTTGACCTCTCACCTCATCTCTCCCTGTCCATCGGGCCCACGGCAGTGATTTATCCCTCTGGCATACCAACAGCTGTGCTTGGGTTTCCGACCGGGGGGTGGGGGGTGGGGGGGGGCACTTTTTGCCATGACTAATCGATAGCAGACTTAAAAAAAACCCAACAATTGTGAAAATGAGAGGAAAAAAAAAACCCACACCAGCTAATGACAGCGGAAATGTCACATTTTTACTGTGTTTCCTGCTTGCTTGGTAAACACCAACTCAACAAGCCTGTGTATGAGTTCATTTGTTGTTAAAAAAAAAAAAAAGAGAGAGAGAGAGAGACAGAGAGAGAGAAAATACGTACATAGAAAAAAAAACTAAACCAGACACTCAGTTAAAAAAAGAAGGCACACAAGATTGAAGTCATTTTTCTGTAAAAAGTTTGAACAGTATAAGAATACAATTATTGTTTGACGAGGGTAAGTGAACGACGACTTTTTGGATTTATGATGAGCAGCGTAGGAGATTTCATCAAGTTCTACCAAAGTACATCTTTTAAAAATGTGACATTGTCAGAATGCAGACATTTGTTCCGGAGTAAGAACTACACCGAAACAGAATGTTACGCATCCTGGACCATGTCATAGTATTGCTCCGAAATGACTTGACGGATGGTATACAAATTATTGTTTGTAATTAGTATTATTATTAGTCTTAGTTTTTCATTGTTTAGTATGGAGTGAAAGCCAGAGACTGGCTGGCTCAGAAGAACGCAGAATTTGGACAGTCCCCTGTTAGGACCGTCTTTCACATTATACTTCAACTATACTCTTGGGATTTCATCATGTTTTCTAAATTTAAAGACTTAATATTTAACTCACAAACATAGCATTTTATTCTGTATTTTACCTTCAACACTTACAGGCATCTTAAAAGCCAACATCAGCCAGAAATAAGCCATAATGGTTACGCAAGGTAGACATAACCTCATGGGATGGCTCCTATAGTTCATGAAAGATCAATCCGATTACAAAACAATTCAATCGTAAAATAAAATTTATTACATTTTTTTTGCAAACAAAGAAGTACAAATGCTCATAAGTCTCAAACAAATGCACTGCATCCTTGAGGGGCTTATGCTTACATTTCTCGGTCAAGTATAAATACTGTAGTCTGGGGGCTCCAAAGTCGGATCCAGCATGTGTGTCCGTGTGTGTGTGTGTGTGTGTGTGTGTGTGTGTGTGTGTGTGTGTGTGTGTGTGTGTGTGTGTGCGCGAGCGTGCAGCTCTGACTCTTCCCTGAGAAAGTCTTTTGAGGGTTTTCAGGTTGCCAATCCTTCACCCGGTCAGTTCAGTCAGCGTCTCAGTCGCAGCGGCCCCAGTCTGCGCATCTTCAAACACTCACTGCTGTCCTTTATTAGAGAGGGACAAACACAGAGTTCACTCAGTAAATATCAACAACATTAAGGCTGACTGATGGCTCTCATCCATTGTTGTTGTTGTCTTGTGCAGCCTTTTGTAAAGCCAGGCCTAGAGTTAAATGTTATATCCTTGACATAAAATAAGAGAGAGAACACAATAACAAATGGATTTACAAAGGAAGGTTATATGTAATCATATACTCTCAGATAGTATTTATCAGGCATACACCTTCTCACATATGATTTTGGTCAAAATTTCCTCTCTTTGTTGATGAGTTATTTATAGTTTTAATTAATGACCAATTGTTGAACAAAATACATGTGTAGACATAGAAAAACTTCTTATCTGTTTAAGTTTTAGGAGAAAAACTGCTCAAGGAATACACTCAAAATTAATGAAAGTTCTATTTATGGGAATTGATTTTGGATACAATTCAGCACTCACTCTTCTAAATACAGCCAACTACTAGACAGTGGTTTTAGACAGCATCAAATAAGAACTAAATGGTACTTGGCTAGCAGCGTTCAAGAAATATCGTGTTCAAGAAATCTTTCATGCTGTATAGAATCATGGGTGTCAATGACTCAGTGGTAGTGGCCATCTCCCAACCCAGAGGTTGGGGGCTCAATCCCTGGCCATTGCGACCTTGTAAAAGTATCCTTGAGGAGGAGTACCAAACTCACGGTTGCTGCTGCTGATGCTGCGTCAACAGTTGGTAAATTAGCAAACAGTGTAAAGCGCTTTGAGGACCAAAAGTAGAAAAGTGTGAGACAAGTGACACGACATTATCTTTTGAAAGAACTAGCAATGACCTGATATTGTTAGCACTCCTGATATTGTCAATACTCGGTGGGGCCGGATTAAAGAATAAAGGGAACCGCAGGTGGCCCGCAGACCGTGCTTGGCCCACCAAATGAGGAAAGGGCTTAATTGGTAAAAATGAAAAGCAATGAAATAAAAGAGGAATCCGTGTGTCTTGTTTTGGTTGATATTCATTTCCCAAGCGAGAACGTAGTTTTGAAATGCTTTATTTTACGCACTCAACTAGATAGTGGTGATGACCGCCAAGTGCAGTCTTGTTCAAGACGCCTCCTTTGAATCTGCTGGATAGGAACGCAAAGTTGTTATTTACCCCTTTCCTCTGGTTACTCAAGCAGAAAGTGCAGATGGTCCTGGGCTGCTGGCTCGACTTGTCCCCTGCCTGCGCGTGGACCACGTCGAGGCACGGCTGTCCATTCGCGCAGCTGTCCCCGATGAGAAGCACGTTGGCCAAGTGGGAAATGTAGCTGGAGGCCAGTCGCAGGGTCTCGATCTTGGAGAGCTTCCTGTCCACCGGCTCGGTGGGGATGAGGGTCCTGAGGGCGGTGAAGGCGCTGTTGACGCTCTGGGTCCGGCCGCGCTCCCTGGCGTTGGCCGCGCTGCGCTGCTTCATGACCGTCGGGGTGGACTCGCCCTCCGCTTGGCGCGCGGTCCTCGCGCGCGTGCCGCAGCAGTAGAGCCGCTCCGAGCTGTCGTCGCTCTCGCTGCGATTGTCGTCGTCCTCGGACGCGACGCTCAGGTCCGAATAGAAGCGCGCGGCTACCGGGCGCAGCATGGCAAACGTCATCGTTCGACTTGGTCCCGACTCGTCTGCTGCAGCTACACTACATGTCAACACGCGGCTGGCTCTACATCGCTGCACGTGGAAGCCAGGAAGGTTCTCTCCTTGGGATGTGCTCACTTGGCAGTGGCCTGGATGACGGACGGCTCGGCTGGGAAGCGCCGGCGGGGTTGATACTGACGGGTCGATACCGACTCTGATATCACAATCCATACATAGCATCTCATGGAGGCATCTGGGTAACACACTATAAATGATACCACTTTACCTCATGACAAATTATGGCATAATCACTTCCCAAATGTACTGTAGCTATATAGCGAAGATACTCGCACCCTGTGCTTAATCGTAGTGCAGACTGTGCATAAACCAATACAGTACTGTGGGGAAAGTACAAGAACTGATTCAACTCCTTAGTAAGCCGCATGACAAAATAAAATGGAGTAAATTCACCACACCGCCCCCCCCCGCCCCGCCCAGTGTCGATACAACATGCAACAAATTATTTAGCTGTGCCAACAAAATACTTATTTATGGTTCCATAGTGAACAGTTGGGTAAGCAAACTGAACACACCCTCTCTAAACTGTAAGGTCGAAGTAGAGGGTGGGGCTAAAGACAATGGACAGGAGCGGTGCAATTGAATTTTGTCTTAAACTGAGGATAAGATGGCATTGCAGCCTCTTGACAAGGACAGAATGAGAACACATTACTACTAAGAACATTTGAAATTCAGGTAACAGGGGAGCTGTGCTGTATTTTCTTACCCAGGCCTCAAGTTGTTCATTGGAATGATATTAACTCCACAAAATAGTATTTCATGCAAATATTCTGCATTTTTGTGTCCACAAACGACTACTGTATATTGTGGCCAGAATTAATACCTCAACCCATGTCACATCTGGGGCCCTGTGCAATAGATTGCTTTTCTGTGCCAGTGTCTGAAGCCGACATGAAATGCAATGGACTGAGCTGACACTTAACAGGCAACTGAATGCATTTCTTGTGTTTCAAATTACATTGTAAAGTAATTAATGCTAAACTGATAAAAAAACAAAAAATAAATAGAATTGTTGAATATACTCAGATTTATTATGTCATGTCCAGATACATTTTTGAAGTGACCATATTAAGTGGTCTGCTTCAAAAATGAATCTGGATCCAGATGATTTTATTTCGTGCAACCACTTGGCATCATAAAATTGGGTAAATTGAACACGTTTTTTTTTCCCCCCATGTGTACTTTCGAGGTGTTTGACTGATAATAAAAGCACGGAGCTACATTGTGAACATAAGACTCCATCAAAAAACATTTGTTTTAATCAGGCCCAAACAACATTGCTTGAAACAAAACAAAACACGCCAGACTATTCAAACAAAGAATCTGCCGAAAGCATGATGAGGTGACAGGACTTCAATTAGTTCTTATCATCTCTGTCCCTAAAGTCATAAATTTATTCATGCACACGAAGCTTCGTAAAATGTTTCTTTTCCATGATCAGTCAATGTGAGTTTGCTTTGATTGCGAGAAAAGAGTCTGTTCCAGAATGTAGTGAGAAAACCGAATCATGAATTTAGATTGACATTTGCATGTACGCGAGAGTTTAGTAGCTGCGCAGTCAAACCACATTTCAAGAGGAAATTATCTACATTGTGCATTGAACTGTCAAAAGTCCAACCGACATTTGCTAAATGATCACTTTAAGCGGTAATTTGTTGAATTTAAATGGTACCTTCATTGCTGAGAGGAGGAGCATTTTGCTGGAGTCGACCATCTCGTAAATGTATTTGAATGACAATTTTATGGGGTCATCATGTCAATGTCCTGCTCCAATCATGAGGCCAAATGAACATCTGTGATTTTCACAGAAGGAGAACGTCACCAGTAAGTGTGTGTAAACAAACAGCGAAATGATGACTCTGGAATGGCGAGAGTACATTTATTGGCTTGCCCCAGGTGCAAAAAGACAACAACAAAGGGGCAAAGGGATGATTTAGTGTTGCGCTGTCTCTCTGAGACTTGAAGAGGATTCAAACCACAAGGTTGCTGTGGTGAAAGTGAGAACTTGATTGCATCGAAGAAACATGACAGATATTTTCCTCAAACTTTGGCTGAATGCCGAATAGCAGGATTTCAGTGCCGTTCAACTTTCCTCGATAGCGGGAGCCCCTTAAAGGCAAAGTAGTTAATTTCGTGCGCCGTATGTGTGTTGTTGTTTTTATAGCTCGCTCACCTCAAATTGAGGACAGCAAAGTTCTAAGAGCGCCTTTTCTCGGGAGCTGAGAATCGTTTACTGAGCTCCTTCAAAGGAAGTCAATCCATTAATCTCAGTGATGAGGACGCAGCCGCTCGGGTTCGCCACCCACTGAGTCCTTATTGATGATCTGTCTAAGGCACAGAACAAAGAGGAGCATGTTCTCCAGCATTTGAAATGACATCCGACTGGCCTCACTTCTTGTTCCCGCAAAAACTTGGCGGTTGGCTTGAAGTTCTCAGCTTGTTCACTGGTGTTGAGCAACGCTTTTTGCATTTTTTCAGGGTTACAGAGGAGCCTTGCATGGGCGCTGTCATAGCCTAGCTAGCCCAACTCGTCTGCTTTTCCCCTGCCGATGACACATTTGCATTATGTCATAGCCGCGGCAGCTGCTTCATATCCCGCCCCAAGCCTGCTACTGTTAATACTGGAGTCATAGATGCACAACAATTCCCTGTAATTATTAAAAAAAGAAAAAACTGGCACTTCAGCTGATGTACAGTACAATTAATATCTACACACTGAAAAACATTGTTACTAGGAATGCACAGATCACACTTTTGCAGACTGAGTATACTAATGCTCATTTGAGTGCTCATCGATACAATCAAATTAGGTTCAAAAACAGTTTCCTTGGACATAGCGCAGGTTTCACTCAAATATAAAGGCTTTTGAAATACAAGCATCTCCTTACTAACATTTTCATTTGCAACTGCGCGTTTTTCAAACAACACATTTCACTTGACAAATGTAGTCCGTAACGTAACCCAATGCATTGCAGTTACACGGTGTCTGTCTGAACACTTGGTGGCACTGTGTGAAAAAAATGCATACGGTAGACAAAAAAACGAAGAAGCCATTCGAGACAAAAGGACGTTGAGTCTGTTGTTTAGGAAGACAGGTGTTGTATTACAGCTGTCTCCAAAATGGAGTAAAGAAAAAGAGATGCAAGACTTCTTGTCGATAATGCTACAATAGAAATTAAAATGACGCGAGAAGTTGTGTCGCTTTGTGCGAGCGGGTTCGTTCAAAAATACAACTTCTGGAAAGGTACGCTTATTAGTCAATATTGGCTGGAGTTCTGAGGAATGGCTTCGCTCTGTTCATGATACTGATGATGCAGTTGCTGTTGCTGTTGAGCAGCCTCCAACTGGGTCCCAAAGCGGCTCCTAAAGCCGCAGCGACCCGGGTACCTGCAGACCCAGTTGTCGGCTGTTGACTGGGAACTGTTCGTAGCCCGAAGGCACGCCCAACACCTCTTGGAGGTCATTCCCGAGTTGGGCTGATGATGCAGTTGCTGTGCTCACCTATGCTATCGCTAAACATCTGGGAAATTAAATAATTATGCAAGAGTAGTCTTTCAAGATTTTTCAGCCACCTTCAATATGATTCAACCAAGGTCTGGAAAGCCGTGGCTCGGCCCCGGTTCAAAACAAACCGTGCAATCAAATTTGTAGATTTACAGTGACGTATTCTTCATGAGCAACATCACTCTTCGGCGGCGGAAATCCATCCTCGTTCAAACTGGAGCATGGTAGAGATAGTTTATGAACATCATTCTGCTTTAAATCAGTTTAAAATAATCAGAAACACAGTCTTTAAAGCTCCAGTGGCTAATGGCACTGGACGCATTAATTTCAAAAGAAGACGTGTGGGGTTGTGGTTTTTTTTATGGTCCGTATGGTCTTTGCTGATTCGTTCAATTCGCGGACTGTTTGCTCAGGTTTCCTAGCCTGCGAATTGAGCTCAAATTAACAGTTTCCACGGCATGTGTAGGGACGTCCGTGTGAATTTTGGTGATGACTGCTAAAGTTTCCTGACACCCGTGTTGGCGCCTCCTCGGTCAGCACACCAAGCTCGCGTTGTGAAAACGTCATCTTTCCCTTCCGAACTGCCATTGTTCTGCCACAGTGTTCTTGGCGCAAAGCCAGCATTTATACTTTGGGGGGGACACATCAGGGGCAAACCGCACTCCGCTGTCGAACTTTGTGGTCGTGTTTACACTTTAGCACGATATCCTTCATGAAGAGGGTTTAAGCAAAACCAACTGCCAGTGCAAGGAAGTGCGGTTGAAGGTGCTCTCAGCGGCCACAGTTCATTCTTTGAGACTTTTGAAACCTGGCCTTGGCAATGTTGCTGCTGGATGTACTCTTATATTACATTTTTGGATCTCCGCCCTAAGAGTGACTTTATTCCCAAAATCTTATTAGTTTTGTCTAAAACAATATACAACAGAACTCTCTTACGGCGAGGCATTTATGTTACCACTTTTCCTCTATTTTCCTCCTGTGTGTGCAATATGGCATTCAACTAGCTGCACATTGTTTCAATTCCACTTTGGGACTCCAGATGTGACAATGAGTCACTGTACCCCACATGAGTATGTCTGACACCAAAGCGTGTCTCTCTTGTTCACAAAGTCCATGTTTGATTGCTCTTTCCTCAAACACAAAGACATACAGACGCAACCTTTCGGAAGATGAGCAGTTCTCGTAGCACGCGTGCTTGCTTGTGCCCGCTGATTTACTACAACGGGGAACCTGTAAAAATCTGGCACAAATTATACGCCTGCATTCAGTTTCAGTTCCGGATAGGAAGCAGTGAGAAATCATTGTGGACTCCTACACCTCAAACCAACTTCCCACAGTGGAAAAAGCAGTGAGAAAGCATTTTGCCATTTGTGGGTGACATTTTGAGGGGGGAATTGGAAAGTGGGGCAGGGTGTTATGAGGGCGAGGGGGCTTGGAATTGACAATTATTTTAGTTCAGTATACATTGGAATTCTCCAGTTAAAGGTATATGTTGTATATTCATTATCGATGGACGACTGCAGACATGATCTGGAGCGAGCCCTATGAAAATGAATGACGCCCACCTACAATATGTTTTTAACTGCCCATATTAATCGTTAAATTCGCAAACTGTAGTCCCAAATCAGTTCTACATCATTTCAAAGCTAACAACATTGTCCTAAAAAAGGGCTTACAGATCGTTTGATTTGTTGGAGATATTTCTATTGAGAACCCAGGCTACACTTCCCCGAAATACACTGATGCTAGCCTCTCAGACGTGACGTATCGCTTCAGCACACTGTGCTTCCTTGAAACCAATTGTTACTTACCCCATTAGCCGGAGTCTTAGACAATTATATTGAGAGCACAAAACCTGGAAAATGTGACATTTTCAGCAAACATTGAACTTCTAAAGCACTGAGGATAGTTTGCAAGGGAGGAAAAAAACTCATTCACTTTTATTCATGGCAAACTGTGAAGAAAAACAAATTCATGCAGTTAGGTACTGTGTTTCATATGAGAGGGGATTCATTTGGTCTCTGCACTTTTCCCACACTTCTCTGTTCAGTCCCAGTTCACATACAGGGCTTGGGTGCTATTGGATCTTTGGCCAAACGACTGGATGTCTGCCTCAGCAACCCCTCGGTGCCGGTGATAATACTCCCTTGTTTCGCTGTGAGGATTCAAGAAGAAAAATGTGGCTTGCCACTTGCTGTCTAGTGCATGCGGAGTGTTAAAAGGCATTATTTTGCAGCTCTGAACAAACCGGATTTCCCATAACTTGTTTTTCTGATACCATTAGAGAAAATCATATCCCACAAATAGATATGAAAAGCGTGATTTCGCTGTTTTTGCAAACATTTCCTTTTCTTAAGCCGTACAAAATCCCTTTGATTCGTTTAAATCCTCAAAGGCAAAACACACACACACACACACACACACACACACACACACACACACACACACACACACACACACACACACACACACACACACAGAGCAACCCATGGAAAATGCTTCCTAAAAGCAACAGGTGCAATGTTTTGGTGTTTCTTTTTTAATGCTGGTGTTGCGTGTC